TTTTTTTTTTTTAAACAGCCATTTACCAAATATCTACCAGTCTTTCCTGATGTCTGCTACATTTAATGAGGATGTCCAGAGCCTCAAGGAGCTGTTGCTGCACAATCCTGTAATGTCCCCTTAACACTCACTTGATCAAAGATTTATTGTTTTCTATACAATTAGAATAGAATGCCTTTATTGTCACTATACAGTTGTACAATGAGATACAGATTGAATGTTTAGATACATTATTAATAACATTTGAGTTACTGTTGCCTTCCTGTCAAGTCAAATCAGCCCTGCCTTTCTCCTTCAGCCTCAGGTATCAACACAGCATTTTCTCCCAGAGACTCCCACTTACTGAATATATTTATTCAGTATTTATTATTAGATTTATTATTATTATATTTTCTCTTCCGGCCACTATATTAATTTAACAGAACACAGTAATTGCACTTGGTTTGAGAACAAAACAAAACAACCATACCGTTCGGTGTGAACGTGATTCAACCCAAATACTAGTACGTTTAAGATACACACCTTCCCACCTGAGATGTGGCAGGGTATCATAGAAGCGAAGGTCAGTACAAGTTAGCAACTAGCCACCTGATTCGGACCAGAGTAAAAGAACTATAGTTGTGAAAACACTCTTAGCCTGCTATGTTTCTAATTAATACTGTACAGACTGAGACCAAGAGTTAATTTCACACAGTGTAAATTGATCATTGTTGTATTATCATTATCAGTGTTCTCTTCTGTATTGTGCCGTTAAAGACTTGCGCAAAGTAAATGAGTACAAAAAAACACAACTTTATTTTCTTGCGAAAACCTTAGTGAAGAATAAGTGAAGTTTAAGCTGCAGTCAGAGGTGATCTGCAGGATGTGTTGATGTTTCTGGTTTTGTCTTGACCCACACATCCATTTTGGATATGGTGTTTTGTTAGGTGATACTGAAGCTTCAAGGATCCCAGCTCCCAGACAGCAGCCAGCTGCAGCAGTACAGCATCAAATGTGAGGAGGAGGACAAGTTTCTACTTGTGTACACACTGCTCAAGCTGTGCCTGGTTAAGGGGAAGACGCTATTGTTTGTGGGAACTGTGGACAGATGCTATAGACTCAAACTGTTTCTCGAACAGTTTGGCATTCCTGCCTGCGTCCTCAATTCTGAACTGCCGGTCCAGTCCAGGTGAGAGGAGAATTCAGGACAGTGTTATATACATGTTTTTTTTCTTTCAACTTGATTCTGTGTGGAAATATGAAGGTGTACAGTCACCTTATTCAGAGCACAACATTGGGCTATATACAGTGTAATTATTGAGTTTTCTCCTGATGATGGACTGATGAACATGAACATAAGTGTTAAAAAGGCCAGAGTTCCTTTGTGACCATCTAGACTGTTGCAGTAAACTTTATTGGTCAATGACTCCTGTGAAGAGGGACAGTCAATTTCATTGATTTTATACGCAATGTGACAGTGCAGATGATTCTGTAATATTTCTTTAAATGATTAACATCAGAACCTACATGAAACATGCGCTTTGAAGATCAGACTTTAGATCCCAAGATTGTGTACAAAAATTGATTTCTGATTTTTTGATTTAATTTATTTCAACATGTGAACAATATACAAGTACATTTAGAAAAGAACATAAGAAAGAAAAAAAAATACTATACAAAAAAAACGTTCTGATTAATTTACAT